GTTCTTCCCATATTCATCTCATCAAAACATGTGCTGAGCCCTGGTTGGGTAGTTCAGTTGGTTGCAGCATTGCCCTGTACATCAAAAGGTTACATGCTCGATCCCCAATCAGGGCACATACCTAAGGTTGTGGGTTCATTCCCAGCTGGGGTGCATATGGGAGGCAACCAATCAATGTTGCTCTCTCCTTCCCTTCCTTTCTCTTCTAGGAAAAACAACAACAACAAAACCCTATGCTGAAGCAGATAGTAGGATGGAAAGACCTAAAGAATTGACCCTATTAGGGTAAAATGACTAATAGTTGCATACTTCATTGATGGATTCCTAAACTTGTAGAGTAATAAGGAACCATTCAGTCTGGGTACCTTGTCACTCAAAGAAGAAAACAGGACCAGGGGAATGAAGTTGCCTGTTAAGTAATGGTTGACATAGGATAAAAAAACAGAATCCTACCTTTGACTCCTTATCTCTCCTCTTCCTTCTTAGCACCCATTGTTCTGAATAGTATGTACATTTTTCCATGAATCAAACTAAAATCTCTGAGTCTCTGATGGTGGGATTGTGGACATCAGCAGAGAGGCCACAGCAGCCCTTTGCTGTGCCACCCAAATAAAGTCACACTTATTTATAAACCCAAACCTCAGCATGGACTCCAGCAGGAGAAGGGCACAGACATGCTCTGTCCAGATCTCACTCAGACCCTGGCTGAGAAAGAAGTCCAACTCAGCATTTTCCACCTTCTTCTCCCAGCTATTATTCAGTCACCCTAACTGAGTGCACACCACCAATATTGAGTTGATTTCAGCACTCAACATTATCAATACTAGTACTGGGGTGTTTGAAGGGCCTGTGGATCTTACTTTTAAAATAGCAATGAAGCTCTTTGTAGCATCTACTGCAAAGATGAAGACCATTCTCAGCAATCAGACTGTTGACATCCTTCTGAAGGGATACAGTTGTTGTGAAGGGCCCCCCAGAGGCACCCTACAGAGGGACTTTAATGACATCAATGTAGAACCCAGTCTCCTTTGAGACAAAAAGAAGAAGCTCTAAGTTGAAAATTGGTGGGGAAATAGAAAGGAACTGGCCACTGTTCACATTATCTGCAGTCCTGTACAGAACATTATCAAGGGTGTTACATTAGGCTTCTGTTATAAAAATGGTTCTCTTGAAATCAGAAATTTTGAGGAGGAAAAAATCCACAGGGTTCAGATGAGTTCAGGCATTGCTTGTTCAGTGTCTCGAGTTCAGAAAGACGAGTTCTTGAAGGAAACAACATTGAAAATGTATCAAATTCAGCTGCTTTGATTCAGTAAGCCACAACAGTTAAAAACAAGAATATCAGAAAAATTTTGGATAATATCTGTTTCTGAAAAAGGAACAGTTGAGTAGGCTGATAAGATCTAAGTTGTCCAGCTATAGAAATGGCAAGATGTCAGATGATTCCTCAGACTTATCTGTGATATTTTAAAGATGTGACACACAGTCTTTGTGCTGATCAGTGTTGGGTGTTTTCAGAGCAACCAAACCACAGCACGTCCACCTCGCACTGTCTGCTGTGAATAGACTAACCCAGTTGTGCAGCTATCTCCCTCTGTCTCATAACCATGTCCACCAATGAGAATGTTAACTCACCAGTTGCCCACCTTAACAGATGTAAGAACAAGGGGAAAGACAGTACAGAAATGAAGCGTCATCAAATAAAAGTTAATGTAGAGCTGAGAAAAGCTAAGGAGGATGAACAGATGCTGAAAAGAAGAAATGTAAGCTCATTTCCTGATGATGCTACTTCTCCACTGTAGGAAAGCCACAACAACCAGAGCACTATAAATTGGTCTGTTGAAGACATTATCAAAGGCATAATAGCAACAATTTGGAAAGCCAGCTTCAAGCTACTCCGGCTGCAAGGAAATGGCTTTCTAGGGAAAAACTGCCACCAATAGACAGCATATTACAGGCTGGTTTGATTCCAAAATTTGTGTCCTTCTTGGACAGAACTGATTGTAGTCCCATTCAGTTTGAATCTGCCTGGGCCTTCACTAACACTTTTTTCTGGGACATCAGAACAAGCCAAGATTGTAGTAGATGGAGGTGCTATCCCAACATTCATTTCTGTGTTGACATCTTCCCATGCTCACATCAATGAACAAGCTCTATGGGCTCTGGGAAACATCACAGGTGATGGTTCAGCTTTCCGAGACTTGGTTATCAAGTACGGTGCAGTTGATCCACTGTTGGCTCTTCTTGCAGTTCCTGATATGTCATCTTTAGCATGTGGTTACTTACATAATCTTACCTGGACACTCAAACCTTTGTTGCAACAAGAATCCTGCACCCCCATTAGATGCTGTTGAGCAGATTCTTCCTACTTTAGTTCATCTCCTACATCATGATGACCCAGAAGGATTAGCAGATATCTGCTGGGCCATCTCCTACCTTACTGATGGTCCAAATGAGTGGATTGAAATGGTTGTGAAAACTGGAGTTGTGCCCCAGTTTGTGAAGATCCTGGGAGCTACTGAATTGCCAATTGTGACTCCTGCACTAAGAGCCATAGGAAATATTGTCACTGGAACAGATGAACAGACTTAGGTTGTAATAAATGCGGGAGCATTTGCCATGTTTCCCAGCCTGTTAATGAACTCTAAGACTAATATTCCGAAGGAAGCTACATGGGCAATGTCAAACATTACAGCTGGCTGCCAAGATGAGGTACAACAAGTTATGAATCATGGATTAGTCCCATTCCTCATTGTTCTTCTCTTATGGCAGACTTTAAGACACAAAAGGAAGCTGTATAGGCTGTAACCACCTATACAAGTGGTGGAACAGTTGAACAGATTATATACCTTGTTCACTATGGTATAATAGAACCATTGGTGAACCTCTTAACTGTAAAAGATACCAAAATTATTCTGGTTATTCTAGATGCCATTTCAAATATCTTCCAGGCTGTTAAGAAACTAGGTGAAACTGAGAAACTTGGCATAATGATTGAGGAATGTGGAGGTTTAGACAAAATTGAAGCTCTACAAAACTATGAAAATGAATCTGTATACAAAGTTTCATTAAACTTGATTATTTCCCTGTAGAGGAAGAGGAAGATCAAAATGTGCCAGAAACTACCTCTGGCAGCTGTATGTTCCAAGTTCAGGATAGTACTTCTGGGACCTTTAACTTTTAGATTATACAGCTGAAGCATAAAATGTTGTTGTTTTGTACTATGTTTGCTGTAAGTTTGTCTTACCATTTCTCTACTTAGAGCTCTTTTTAAATGTGGTTGTTGTTGCAGCACTTTTTACAATGAAACTATACTTGAACATTTCGAAACTATATATACTGTATGAAACTTCTCCTTTCAATGAGTTTCTTATTTCTATGTAGAATTTTCTATCTTACAGTGTCTTGTAAGCAGAGATTAAATTTCACCCCAAAAAAGATGCAATAAAAGCCATGAATTGATTTGGGAAAACAAATAGTAATGAAGCCCTAGAGAATTCTTATATTTTTCCAACCTTAGAATTGTATGTGGCAGGAGTCAAAAACCAGATTTGCCCCTGAATGGTTTAGGAATATTAGACTCAAAAATCACATTTATTTGCTATGTGCAGACATTGACCTAAGTATTAAAGAAAGACGTCTGAGTCATGGCTTACAGGTTTCAATGAATGAGGAGCAAGAGAGAAAGAAATTGATTTACTGCATGTTAAATATAAGCACATTCATTCAAATATCTTTATGCCAAAACAATTGTGGATTTTTTTTAAGTTTTAATCAATTGTTTTGACATCCTGTAGATACATCAAGTAGGATGTTATTCTCCATTCTGGCAGATATTTCATTGTCAAAATCTTCTTTAGAACAGTTAAAAGTGTCCATTGGTTCCATGAGTATATTTGTTCACCTTTTTAATTATTTGAATGGGTGAGGGAAATTCTCTTTCTCGGACACTTTGTGTTTGTAGACGAGAGGATATTCATCAATTCCAGATGGCTCTTCTCTTGCTGCAGGTGAGCAGGTATGTCCTGATCCACAGTGGCTCTTCCTGCTGCACTGTGTCCTCCTATCCAGCACTAAAAGGCAGCATTAAAGTTCTAACAGGTCTTGCAAAGCAGGACAATTCAAATAAGTGCAGCCAGGACCTGTGGAAGCCTATTTCCAGGAGAGTGGCAGCTCTTTCCATTGCACACACAGAAAGCAGGAGCTCAGACTGTGAAACCACAGAATTCCTGGAGTTTCTCCTCTCCACTGGAGTATGAGGTCTCTCAGGGCAACCTGAACTGTACAACTCTCTCAAGGACACAGGCAAAACCCAGACTGGAAAGCATTGGATAGCTCTAGGGCCACTCACTTCCCTTTCCTCAGTGAAGACAACTACTCAGAGACACACTCAGAAACAACAAACAAGTCAGGGTCCACCCATAGCCTATGCAACTTCCACCTGAATGCAATAACCATCAAAGATGCCCAAAAGGCCCCAATTGTTTACCAGTCATATTTTCTGCATTTGTCATTTCTCCCATAACACAATGAAGTATGTAGTGGGATATCACTATCAGCATTAATTTTATTAAAGGGGGTTGGAAAAGTTAAACTAATGTCTCCCTACTGACTCTATTGATTACATGCATAAGATACCTGTTTTATCAAAGCAGAAAAAAAAAAAAAAAAACAAGCAAAACGAACCCTCATAATAATTCACCAGAAAACATTAGAACAGTAATGAGCTCTACTAATGTAAGGTACATGCTTTACATAAAGCACATACCACGGTAAAGAATAAGACAATAGACCAATCAAGAGCATACGATGATAGTAGTAACCTGATCCTCGTCAATTAATCATTGTAGCTTTCAGTCTGAAGCCATTTGTGGCAGGCAAGATGGCCTTCTTGACTGTCGATATTCTCCAGGAACTTTAAGGTTTCCCATGTGCCAAAGTAATGCTGCACATTCGGGTCTGCATCTTCTCTCAGTCACTGCACTGCCCAGCTGACCTCTTCACACCCACTCAGACCTTCTGGTCTCCAGGAGAGGGGCCCTTCCAGAGCCAGCCCGGAGGGCGGGGGGTTGCTGCGGAATGGATGGGCGGGGCCGGGCCAGCAGGCTGAGGAGCATTAAGGGATCTTCACTTTGGGGCTTCTGAGGGGCTTCTGTGCGGGGTCTGACCCCAGGCTCTGTGCAAGCCCTGGGCAGCTTGTCGTTAGCTAAGGATAACCCCTCAGTCTCATCCTCATCTGGAAGCTCCACCCGCCCTGACACAGCGGACTGACTACCGGGGCTGTGGGCATCGTGCCCTCGGGTCCACTGGCCAGGGTGCTCAAGAGCCGCACTCTCTTCCCCGGATCCCCGGCGGCCCCCAGCTGTGCCCCGCCACCTGCGCGTTCTTCGGCGCAGACTGCAGAGCAGGTCAGTCACGCTGAGCAGCACCGAGAGAGCGCTGAGTGCCCAGAGGAAGAGCATCAGGGTGGACTTCTCCGTGGGCCGAGAGACGTAGCAGTCCACCGTGCCAGAGCAGGAAACATGGGTGCAGGAGAATCTATTGGGGACCGAGAATCCGAAGAGGAGGTAATGCAAGGCCCCGAAAGCTATTTCTGCCAAAGTCCGCAGACAGAGCTGCACAATATAGCCCGAGGAGAAATCTGGCACCACCAGGCTGCGCCCCTCCCTGCAGGGCAGCGAGCAGCGCCGATCCTCGGGGCTCAGGTCAGCGGGATTCTGGTTCCCGGGACTGCCACCTGGCCTGCAGGGGCCCCAGACAGCGAGCTCGGATACTTTGTGCAGGACGTAAATACCGAAAACCGCAGAAGGGAGGAGGGCAGACGCGCTTTGGACTAGCCAGAAGCGCAGGTGGGACACGGGAGAGAAGATGTCATAACAGACATTGGCACACCCTGGCTGCAGGGTGTTGCACACAAACCTCTCCTGCTCATCCTGGTAGACAGGGGACCCCGCCACAATGATGACCACCATCCTCAGCAGGATCATGAAGATAAGCCAGATCTTCCCTGAAAAAGAGGAGGTAGGGTGAGCACCACCATGCTTTCTCCTAACAATAATGTTTAAGTGTGTACTGGGACTGAGAGTGAAATGTGAAATACACACACATGTATTTCAGTCACAGCAACAGTATCAGCGAGTTAGCACATGTGACAAATACTTATGGAGCACTTATGTGTCAGACACTGTTTGAACTACTTGTTTATAAAATCCTTTTGAGAATAATAGATTTTAAAGAAGCATAAATACTAAGAATATTTGACTCCACTAGTTCAAACTTTTGTTAATATCTCCTGGACTGAAAGATTTAGAATGAAAGTTTAGGAGATTAAGCTTCTTAAAGAATGTTAATGCATTCTTGTTACTGTGTATAACAACTATATAATACAACTGTTAATCTCAGTTAATTTTTTATTTATGATAATGGTTTGAAAGAACATCTTGTAATAGCAGGGCTTATATTTAAATTGCTCTATGACTTTTGAATCAAATGTCTCTATGAACATTCAATTTTTCAGATTTTTCAGTAATTCAGAATTCCTTTTCCCTTATTTCAATTTTATGAATCAATGAACTTTGTCTTTTTCAACTTATCATGAATACATATGGCCAAGCTGGGGACTCAAAATAACTTCAAAAGTCTTCTTTTCATATCATGAGTCAACTATTTTGGAACATGTTTAAGACTTGGACAAAATAATTTGTAAATATTTTGTTTTGTGATAAGATAGAGAAAACATCACCTGAGAGCAGAAAAACAAAACTCTATTAAAATGAAGGCAATTAAAGAATATTATTATGTGATGAGATTGACTCAAACTTTTAAAGACCAAGATGATTTTGTTTAAGTTCTACAAAATAATGAATAAGAAAAACATCAATGATTAGTTCTTGTCTCAGTTTCTTTTCCTAGGACACCCATACTTCTCTAAAAAATTGCCTTACCTGCACTAAACTCAGAAATCCTTATCACTTTCTTTGTTAAAAAAATAACTAAACTAAAATGGGATTTGGCTTAAAGCACAAGAGAAATTGATAATCTTTACAAATTAAGCTTCGAGATTAAACTCTAAAAAAATGAACAAGAAGAAAGTATAATTGAGGCATTAATTTCTCTTTCACTTTTACTGTATTGCTTCTTTTTATGGTAAGGCAACCAGAAAAGAGTTACACAAAAACATTCCTTCCACCTGCTTCATTCTTCAGACTCAGCACCAGAATGTCAGCAAGAAGAGGCCCAAGGAGAGAAGCAACACTCACATCCAGACTTCCTTAAATGATTGTTGGAACTATGGTACAGTCAGAAGCTTGAATCCATAGTCCTCTTTGCTCCAGTAGTTCATAGGCCTTTGTCTTGGGGCTAGACAAGACAAACCAATTTAAAAAAAAAAAAAGAAAAAACAAACAGCCTGGCTGGTGTGGCTCAGTGGATTGAGTGCTAACCTGTGAACCAAAGGGTCACTGGTTTGATTCTCAGTGTACAACACATGCCTGGGTTGTGGGCTAATTCCCCAGTAGAGGGTGAGAGAGGCAACCACACGTTCATGTATTTCTCTCTCTTTTTCTCCCACCCTTCCCCTCTCTATAAATATCTAAAATCTTTAAACAAAACAAAACAAAACAAAACAAAACAAAAACAAAATAAAAGCTTTGGGGGTATTTCTTGTACTCACCCACAATGGTCACATTGCAGTTTAACGTGATAATGAGGAACCCTAGCAAGTCCCAATGGTCCATGCTTCCAAAATGTCATAGACTCAAGGCTGCTGGGATATCAAAAGCCTGTGATCTCCAAGGAGGTGGTAAATCTTTGCAGAAATAAATGTATGTTAGCTATAAGAGGCTTAAAAAATGAGAGCTGGAAATATAAAAGGAAAGAATTGAGCCCAGGAGCAAGAGGTCAGTTTTTGTCTCCAAATTGAGATGCCCCCAAGCTGTTCACCTCTAAGGCAGAGTTCCTGACAACTGCAGTGACCAGAAGACAGCAGGAGTCATTTCTCATTGTGGGCTATTCTTACCCTCCTGGGACATTCCAGGTTCCTGGCAGTGCTCACATGTCTCAGCCAGGAGAGACAGAGGCTTCAAGATATATAATAGAAGTGATTATATTTAGCACAAGAAAGAACAGTTTTGTTAACTAGCCAAGTAAATTCTTTATGAAATAAAAGTGTTTTCTCCTTGAAAACAATTCCATACCACTTCACTTGTTAAAGAAACACTAAAATGTTCAAATTCTGTCTTCTCTATGAAGTATGACTCATTATAACCCGAAAGGCTCTTGTCCTCAAGATAGGGGACTCAAGAGTTAGAAAATTTTATTTTAAGGTAAATAGTTATAAGCCTAGTAAGTAATGCATATGTTAAAGCTATTTCAGGAACTGCAGATAAGGCCCACCACTCCCTGGAGAGACAGCCAACCTCCTGGGACAGCTAAAAATTACTGCCTGGGGGACAATTGGAGGCATCCAGTCCATCTGTTCCAGGGAGAGACAAACAACTGCCTGCCCCTGGGAACAGCTAAATGCCAGGGCAAAAATACTGCAGTGTTTTTGTTTTTTTTAATCTAATTTTTCCTGAACTTCAAAACCCTTCATCACATTTCTTTCTCTGTTATAAAAAGGCTGTCTTAGAAAGAAAATGTAAGATGGTCTGTTAGGGTATGAACCCACCATCTTCTCAGAGTGCTGGCCATCTAAATAAAAGCATCCATAAAAATTCAGTCCCTGTCTCTGCTTATTGGGTTCAGTATGTGACAGGCAGCACAAATACCGGTGTATTTTCTTGAACATGGCATAAGGTGACTCAAAGATTCAGTGTTCTGTGTGTCCAAAAATGATTGTGAAAACTCAGAGTATTGATTTAGGGGTTACAAATAAATTTTAGCAAGTCGGTGAATTTGTAAATATGAAATCCATGAATAATAAGGATTGACTTTTTAACAATGCTGATCTACTTGACCAGCAATTTTCAACATTTTGATCTCATAGCACACATAAACTAATTACTAAAATTCTGCAGCACAACGAAAAATTGTGTTTTACCAATCTGACAACAAATAAGTATGATTTTGATTGATTTACAAAAACAAATAATAGTAGTAAGTGACTTTGAAAAAAATCAGATGCCTATATGTGCATATAAGGATTTCTGGTGTTGTAACAGGGTGCAGACGAGAGGGGGGGCCCAAATAGGGATTTGGAATGGGGTCCAGAACACAAGGTGTCCAGGAAATATTAGGATGTCCTCATCCCTTCCCCTGACAGGTGTGAGTTAGGGAAAGGGACACATGGAGGAGGAACATTGAGAGCTGTTTTGTACAGCAATAGCTTTGCAGATAACCCATGGCACGGTCATTTAATATATCTAACTGGTTTACATAGATATGTTAAATAGAGGTGGCCATGTTTGGAGCCAGGCAGATGGAAGTCATTTCCACCCAAGATGTAACTGGGAGGCAACTCCCCCTGGTTACAGTGCCTGTGTGAGAGCTTGGAGAACATTGGCTCCATGCCATGGGGCCACACCTGCCCAGACTCACTATGGCAGCCCAATAAAGCTGGAAGGATATGGGGAATGCTGGCAAGTGTAGCCAATTGTGCGAGGAGTCAGAAATACAGAGGATTGGTGCTGGTATTTAAATCCAGATGAGGCAGCCATTAAGGGGAGAACCACACGGCTTTAGCCAGAGTGCAGACCCCCTGCAGCTAGGGTGGAGAGAGAACCACATGGTTTTGCCAGAGTGGCAACCACCCCCTCTCCCCACCACCCTGCAGCTTTGCCAAGAAGAACCTTGTGGTTTTGGCCAGAGTGGGGACCTCTGCAGCTTTGGTAGGAGAGGACCACATGGCTTTGGGGTGCTCCCTGTGGCCACCTGGCCTGGGAAGCAGGAGAGACTTTGCCTGGAAGAAGGGTGAAAGAACACTTGCCAGTTGGCCATGAGAAGGTGCCACATGGCTTTGGATTAATTAGAGATCCTACCTGGATGGCAACACAGTGATGGTGCCAACAGCCTGAATCATGGACATTTGCTTCTTTTCCTGAGATACAGTACCCCAAATTAGGGCAGGGGGAGAAGGAAGCACTGTGGGTGTCTATGGGTATCCAAAAGGACTTTGATATTTTAACAGAGACATTAGGTCACTACTTTAAGTATGTATAGCTTTAAATAAATATTTCCTTTCCTTTTCACAAATCTCTGGCATTGAGAAACATCTTTCCTAAGGTGACGGACAATTGAACCTAGCAGGGGTTCATTTCAGTAATAGTATATTGTACCCCTCTTGGCCCTGTGTGTGTGTGTGTGTGTGTGTTCTGTGACAGTATCAAGAATTACTATGCAATGTGACCAGTAAGATGCAACTCTATTATATGACCTATATATTTATGGTTCAAAACAGGGTGTTCATGCTGGATGATGATTATTGTGTTGGCTGTTGTCATTTTTTTATTTGACAAGGAAAAGAGGTCAGTACCCCTGACTAAATAGTCAGATATTGCATGTTTTATAGAGGGAAGAAAAACTGAGACTGATGAGGATCAAATCACAAGAGGACTGTGTTCCTAGGAGTCCTGGGAACTAGAGAGTTATTTAAAGGGGAGGAAAGAATCAAGGCTTCAGACCTGACCCACTCTCAGTCTACTTCAGTCACACATCTCCACTTCTAGCTGCATTTTTTTATGCTTTGGCGAAGACTCAATTTGAATAAAGGAGTCTGTATCCAAAGAAGAAATGTTAGAAACATCTGCATTTGTGAACGTAATTGTGGGAGGCAGCCTAGTATATGAAGGTAAAGTAGCCAAGCTCTTGAATCTGAGGTCCTAGATTAAAATTCTAGCTTCTTAACCTTTAGAATTGTTTTACTCAGTTTCCTTGTTGTAAAATCATAGTGCCCAACCCCTACCCTACAATAATTGTGAAGAACAAATGAGAAAATATGTAAAGCACATAAAACAGTGTCCAGTCCTCATTCTTATTACCTGCCAAGAATAAAGTAGCAGTAAAGGTGAAAAGCTAGGAGTGGCTTTTCCTCCAGAGGATGGGTACTCCAGGGCCCTCACTGTCCATCACAGAGACCTGGCTGGAGAAGACTCCAATTCATCCCAAGCTCAAAAGGACAGAGTGCTCCCAGGGAAACAGCATTCAGCTTCTGGGTGTCTGGGAAAGGATGATGTCTATTTTGTTCTGTTTTGTGTTTGTGGTTAATTACCGAATTTGAGAAATGAGTGTTTTACTTGTTCTTAGGGTATAAATGACTTTTCAGGACTGTAGATAGAAAGCAAGTTTCAACAGCTGGACCAACAGACAAATCATGTGTAGAGTTGCATCTCACCTGCATCTGTAAAATTTAGTAACAAAAGAAATCATAACCTATTCCTTTTTTAACAATGTAGCTTACCACAGGCGCAGGTACTCTAGAGTGAACCAGCTCTGTGCAGACTCTTTCCTGTCCACACCCATGTACTTCCCACACGACTTGCACAAGAAAATAAACACCCTGCTCAATAGGACACCTGGAGAACTGGTAAAAGGAGGGAATGTTGTTGGGCTGAACCATGTCCTGCTCTTAGGCTCTCGAAGGTGTCATTCTTGAATTATATATTTGAATTGAAGTTCAACTCAACTTCACAGCATCCAGGAACAAAGGCAAATGTCTTCTCCTTATCAAGATGGCACTGACAGCATCTCTTGTAATTTGTTTTTTAGCAACTGAGTGGGTTCTAACAAGCAGAGAGGTGTGACTTCTATCCCAAAAGAGAAAAAGAACTTCCAGATGCTGTTCTCACCTCAGATAAAAAGCTCAGCTGAGATTTTTTAAGAGACACTGTAGCAACACAAATCTTTCTTCTCAACCATAACAAAATAGTGTATCTTCCCCAGCTCACAGGAAGGCACACTTGCCAAAGATCTTGAAGTAATTACCTAAACTGTCTGTCAGAGGAAAGCATGTCAGATGAAGAATGTAAATCAAGAAACATATTACTTCTGAGGCTGGTCATTTATCCACTAAAACACACTACCCACAAGGCAGCACAGTTACCAAAGGGGAATACAAAGAACCCCCAAAATCCATTTTGTACAGACTTGCTGACTCATGCGAGTTTGGAAATTGAACCCTATTTTAAAATTTATCTAGTCCACCTTCCTAACCCTACAAGTGAAATTAAAAATGTAGTCAAGATCATCCAGCCTCAGTACAAATCTTAAATAACATCTGGTACCCCTCCCCTGGCCAGGGAATTTTTGATCCACAACATATCAAAAGTACCAAACAAGTTTCAGCTGTTTAGAATATTAAATAATCCAATTATCTGCATAGCATAGTGTTAGTCTTTTAAGTATTTGAAATTGTATTATTTTAACTTCTTCAAGGAAATTTTCTACAGCACCCTTTGGAAATTAGGCAAATGGGCAGAACAGACTGTACAAACAATAGGGGTGCACAGGTGCCCTACAGCCACTCTAATTGGGTTTTCTTTGTGAAGAAAGCAAAGATTTCCAACCATTAGCTTGCCTTTTGTTCACAGGTCATGGATAGTATGTTCAGAACACTCTTTCTGGGTACTGTGATTTGAATGTCTCCCTCCAAATTCATATCTTGAGATCCTAACCCCCAAGATGATGGGATTAGGAGGCAGGACCTTTAGATTAATGGAATTAGTAACCTTTTAAGAGAAGCCCAAGAAATACCCCTTGTGCTTTCTGCCATGTGAGGTTGTAGGAAAAAGATGGCCATCTA